GATAAATTTTTTTTAAACTTTTTTTTTTTTTTTTTTTGCAATTGGAACAAATTCTAGACCAAATGGTAGAAAAAATTATCACTTTCATGAACAATTTTCATAAAAAATAAAGTCAAATGGATACCAAACTTTCAACATTTTTCAAGTGAAAAATTATACAAATCAAACACAATTAATTATAATTCTCAGTAAAACAATTTTTAGGCAATTTAATTCCCACCTTTGCAATCAAACGGACCCTTAGAATAATCTCTCTCATACATGAACAATACCCAATAACTTGCTAGTAGTATTAACTATTAGGGTCCGTTTGATTGCAATTGTGGAAAATGAGTAGAAAGAAAATAAATTCTAGGGAATTGAATTGCCTAAAAAATTATTTTACTGAGAATTGTAATTAATTGTGTAAGATTGCTATAATTTTTTCAACTGAAAAATGTTGAAATTTTGGTGTCTGTTTGACTTTATTTTTCATGAAAATTGTTCATTAAAGTGATCATTTCTTTTACCATTTGATCTAGAATTTGTTTCACTTGCTAAAAAAAAAAAAATTACCATACCAAATATCATTCGTTTGGTTTTGTTTTGCATCAAAATTGTCAATAAAAGTGATATATTTTATCATTGGATCTAGAATTTTCCCCATTACAAAAAATAAAAACCGAAAAATGAAAACCCACCTAAAAGGTGGGAAAACAATTTCAACAAAATTAAGGAAAATGTGCACATGTGAGAAAAAGATCACTACAAAAGTTGTAAAGTGGAAAAAAATCTCTATTTTCCATGGAAAATATTGTGTATCAAACGGGACCTTGGTCTTAGTAATTATGCTTGGTTTTATGTTGTTTCTTCCCTTTTGCAATTACTCTTGACTCTGTTGATCAACAATCACATTCAGATCCAATGCCATGATCCTTACAACGAAATTGCGATATAACCAATTAATGGACTAATCTTGAATGTAATTACACTCCATTTAAGGCTTTAAAGCACACAAGAATTTTCCGACCTACACGAGCTCTTTCTTTTTTGGCTCAAGAACAGGAGGGTCAACGTCAATCCCCATATTCGCAGCAGTTCCGCGATATTAAGAGTAACGACTAAGATTAGTTGAACAATTCAGATCAGGCAACTTTTCTTGTGCAATTGTCCGCAACTGCTCGATTGTTACCTTCCCAACTTTCTCCTGCTTTGGGTCCTTGGAACCTTTCTCCAATCCTGACAAGTCACAAAGACAAACTTATTAGCTATGTTCTTGCATACTTGGTTGCATTCGCCAGGAAGGTGCAAATGTTCAAAGTAAGGTTTGTTACCCAAAAATATACCTAAATATTCTCAAACATTTCCAATTTCAACAGAAGGTAATGCGAGTAACTGAATCTGCTATCAAGACTTTAGGATTTGCCTATGAAGGCATTCCTGACACAAGGTACGGTGTTTATTTGAGTTGAATTAGGATATGGGTTGATTGTTCTTTGTGTACATGCTTACTGAATCTGCAAAAAATGATCCAACCACAGAATCTAATTTCTGAGATTGCCCTTTGAAATGAGCCTTTACTTCGAACAATTCTACATACTAAATTACTTTTGAAGTGAATTACTAATAAATAACCATGCCCAATTGCTTTCTCCAAGTATCATTTAAAGGACACAGCCAATGTCAGTGATCCTCTCAAACAACTAGAAATATAGAATGCATTTAGTTATATCACTTTCTAATTAGAATTATTATACTTTGTGGACCAAGGGGGGAAGAGAACTCACAAATGTCCAGACGCACGTGCAAAAGATATAAAATTAACTACATGATATTCTGTATTTGGATGTAATGTAAAACAATCATTTTAGTCGAACAAAACCACGGTACATGTACAATTTATTTGAAGTAAAAACCAAAATTTCCTTAATTGTGTGATGCTTACACATACAGATAGTAAAAAAGATGCCATATCATTCCCCCTTCCTTCCGTTCTCTGCCTATTAAACTTGAACATATCTTCAATCAATACCTATTTAATTCTATTGAATTACCTAACACGACACGTTCATGCTTAAAAGAATTGAAAAAAAAAACTAAAAAACAACTGTGGGGAAGTAATTTTTTTGGAACTATGCTATGCCAGTAGAATTCTTAATGTAGGAAATTCGATGCCTGGTTCATTGATTCAATTACAATAAAAAGATATCAGCATTTCTCTTAATGCGATAAAATTAAACAAAAATACTAATAGCAGTGAAAATCAAGTTCATTATATGCTTGGAGAAAACCAAAAAAAAAAAAAAAAGGTACCTGCAGCTTTCAGCAGCAAGACTGAAGCAGGTGGAGTCTTCAAGATAAAAGTGAAACTCCTATCCTGAAAAAAGTTAGAAACAAACACGGTTAAGGACCAACTACCCAATCAATTAGATTTATTAAATTCAGTTCAAAATCAAACTAATTCATCCAAAAACGAAGGAACTCACATCATAGACTGTAATTTCGACAGGAATAACGTAACCAGCCTTATCAGCAGTACGGGCATTGTAATCCTTACAGAACGCCATAATATTCACACCCTTGGCACCCAATGCAGGCCCCACAGGAGGCGCCGGGGTGGCCTTTCCTGCCTCCAGCGCTAACTTCACCAGCCCAACCACTGCCAAATTCCAATCACACACACATAAAAAAAAAGTATAAAATGCATAAAACCGTAATAATTTATACATGGAAGACAACAGGGTGGATTATATATAAAATTTAATAGAAACCTTTCTTGGCTTTTCCCCCAGGTTTAGGAGGAGCCATGGAAATGATAGTAAGAGGCCTTGGAAATGAAGATAGCGGCTGTGTAAAGTGATTGTTGACGAATTGGACTGAAATTTTAGGGTTTGATGACAAATTGGGGGATGAACTGAAGAACAATGAGGATGGAAGAATTCTCTGATTCTTCTTCTTTGCCTCTTGATAATGAGAAGAAATTGAATTGGCTTGTGAAGTTAGTGATGAAGAAGCCATTTTTGACACCAGAGATTGTTGAGAGAGTGCAGTGACAGTGGATAACATTCCAAATCATATCAAAATCATGAAGCAGGCTTGGGCCTTAACAACCACATCATGGGCCTTTTGGAAAGCCCATGTCGCTAATTTCGGATTAAGAAAACATGACAGAAATAGCACTAAATAAATTCGATTTTGATACGGGTACATCACGATATATATCACGGTGTGCACTCCATCACATGGGGATGGGACCCACTTAAATAAACAAATATTTTATACAAGTGGGTCACACCCATGTGAGAGAGGCAGATACCTTGATATACATCTTTTGATGTACAAGTAGATTTATCCAAATAAATTATCGTATCTCCATTTGCACCGTCTTGTGAACAATTTCTAAATAATTGGGCAACTTTACATGTATCTGGTAGCGGGTCTTTTAACCTAAAAATTTTGATAACTGAAAAATATATAATTTGAGTCAAGAATAGAGATCAAACATAACAATTCCATCGTGAATTTTAATTTACTGTCATTTTTTTCACAGAAATCATTAGACTATAAATAAGAAGTGAGCCTCTAAACATAAAACGACAACTTTCTATTCATATTAAAGTATACTTGATTATTTGGACAGATATATGTTGACCTCAATTTCTAGTCAGTGATGCAGCCAATAGATGTTGACTCCACTCACGTTTCGAGGTAAGGCTCTTGTACATTTGGACAAAACTATTAGAAGTATGTGACCTTCTCCGATGATGAGAGGCTACATTGAGCACTCTAACAATCAAATTAATTAACTTGTATATATTTGGACGTGTGATAATGTGTATGGGCATCGAGTTGTAGAGAGAAATTAAGAACGAGCAACAATACTGTTGAAAGTGTAAAATTATATTACCTTTTAAATGTCACTAAATGTGAGTTTTTATAGTAGAAGAGGTAATGTAGTTACCGTTAGATGTAAGACACGTGACCTCATTTTAATGGTCGATGTCTCTACTCCTAGATATCATTACTGTAGTTTTAGGTTTAGGTGTATTAAATCGTTTTGAAAGGTAGTCACCATATAGCCTAAGCCTGATATCTAAAAAATTAACTGACTAGTTGATTGAGAGGTACATGTTGTAGAGAAGTCACATCAATCAATCACATAAGATCTTGAACGAAAAATCTCTTGATAGAGGTGAAGGAAGATGATGTCTTCGTCTGTTTGAAGGTTGCTCACTTCAAATTAGCACTATAGCAAGTCATGGATATCACGCCTCAACCATGGAGGGTTTAGCCTCTACATGGCGCTTGAACGGAGGTTGTGCATCACTTCGACTATCATATTTGATGACCTCGACTAGGATTGATAGGCTAGTAACGGGTATTGTAGACTTGAATTGATTTGTTAGCTGGCTGTCATGTGATCGATGTTTGGAGTCTCGTTGGACGAGGTGTAGTAGTTTGTATTCGTATTAGCGATATGTTGTGTTTATAATAATCCCAAATTTGAAAATGATAGATGAAAATGGAATGAAATTTTGGGAATAAAAGGATCAAAAGATGTGAAACAAATAACCTATGTAGGGGTGTCAACTAGCCGAAACTCGAAACTCGGGCTCGGCTCAAGCCAAAATGGTTTGAGTTTTTTTTTTTTTACCAGAGCCAAGCAAAAACTCGGCAAAAAAATTGAGGCTCGACCCGAGCTTTCTGCTCGGGCCATAGCTTATTTTTATTATTATGGTATACATGCAGCTCTATTTTTATTTTATTTTTTCATTTTTTTGTTTTTTTGAAATTCGACTTCCGGCCCAAAATAGTTTTTTTATTTAACATGCTCCATTAACTAATTATTAATGTAGTGCATATTTTACTTGCATTAAGGATAACTAAATCAAAACAATAATTTATATAATTACACCTATAACTTCATAAATCATACTAATAAAAACCAGTTTGGTGTCAACATTAGTATAGAGAGATTTTATTTTATTTTATACAAGGAATCAAATGAATAGATCTTCATTCTAAACTTTGGTTGTCCAGTAAGACAAAGAGAAGTCTCTAAATAAAGTAAATATAATTAAATTTTCAAAAATAAGAATAACAAATCAATTATAGTTTATAAATACAACAAGACCTTCGCCTGGCTTCAAAATTGCTCGGTACCATTTTCCAATTTATTTTTTTGCAAAATATGAAATTATCAAAATTCTGGAAGACCGTATATTTGGTGCTTTTTCGTCTTTCACAATAAAATTAATATCTGATAGAAATTAGTGGTGAAAAAGTGAACAGTAATCGTGAGTAAAATTTGACTTTAACTTTCAGATTATTATGTTTATGATGAAATCCAAACAAGCACTTACTTCAAGACGTGAATAAGAATTTATGAAAAAGAAATAATGTGCTCAAAATTCTCTCGCACAAAATCAAAAATAAAATACTTCTAAATGAATAGTAATTGTGAATGTGTGTTAAATTAAGGTTTGGTCGTGATGGAAAATTATGAGTTACCTTTTAGGAAATTTAAATAGATGTTGTTCGGGTAAAATTATTAGTAACTTATAAGGAGGAATACTGGTTGATTTCACGAAATATGTGAATGATAGTTATAAATGTATAATTGAAATTAATGTTTCTTTGATTCAAAATTATAAATTACTAATAAATTTAGCCAAACGGAATATAATTTCTAAGTATAGTTAGTGCGCAATAACAAATATATCCACAGTAAAATTTGTACAAAATCATTTTAAAGAAAAAAAAATATGTAATAAAATTTATGAAATGTTGTCTTTTTGAGTTCTACCAATTGCATTTTGTGGAGGTGGTAAAAAGTGACATTGATGAATATGTTTATTTAACACACACAAAATGTAAATTGAAATAAATTAATGAACTAAACAATATTCACAATAAATTTATAATTAACTCAAATATTTCTTTCTTGTTACTTCTATCAATTTTATATTTCATATTTTAAACAATTAAATTTTTAGTAGTTAGTTTTGATAACATCCTCCGTCCCTTTTTAACTTGTTCCATTAGAATTCATATAGTTCTTAAAATATTTGTTCCCACAATGGTGGAAGGCAAAGGTCCACCAATATTAGTATGTATTAAGTCCAAAATATCATCACTCCTAATGGAACTTTTCCTAGTGGATTTATTCAACTTTTCTCTTATACATTCCACACATGTGTCAAAATCAGAGAAGTCGAGAGAGGGAAGTATCTCAACTTTAACCAATCTTTCCAGTCTATCATTTCAAATGTGACACAACCACTTATACCATAACATGGAAGATGATTCACGAATTCGAGATCATTTCTTTGACACATTCGCAACACAAGAGATTTCACCAAAAGAAGTCAAAGACAATTTATATAAACCATCACATGAGAGGTCATTTCCAATCAAACGAGAATCATAAAATAATTTAACCATTTCATTATCAAAATGAAAGGAAAAATCAGAAGCATTAAGTTTCAATATAGAAATTAAATTCCCTCTCATTGTCGGTACAAAAATAGTATTCTCTAAAATAAGAGGGAAATCAAACTCCAAAGACAACTCCACTACTCCTATGAACCCAACCTTCACTTGAACTTCATTCCTAACGCACAGGGTTACTTCATTCTCACTTGGCTTCCGTTTGCTTATGAATCCCTATAAGAAATTCGTAATATGAATACTAGCTCACAAGCCTAACCACCAAGAATTTAAAGGAACATCTACAAAAGAAGACTCAAAACAAACTAAGGCCAAGGCACCACTTGCACCATCATATCTCATATTTATCAGTTTGTCCATCAGATCTCCAGTAAGACTCAAAACAAACTAAGGTTAAAGCTCAACTAGCACCATCATAACTCATATTTATCAGGTTGTCCATCATATCTCCAATATCAACTTTATCAGACTCAACAAATCTCACTCCTATGACATCTACTATACTTTTAGCATTTTCATTATCCGAAATAGCACCCATAATGGAATCGGATATGGAGCGCTTAATAATTTTCAAACAAAGTCTGTTAGCCATTTCCCACTCTTCATACTCAACTACATATTAAGGATCACTTTTATCTGTGGATTTCGAAAGCTGCTTCTCCATTGCAAAATCCAACCCCAAAAGACTAAGTGTTATTTTTACGTCTCGTTTTCATCTCACATAATTATTCTCAATCAAGGTTTCAATAACAGACAATTGACTCGAAAGAGTTGAGGCATTTAAAACTGTGAAAACATAAAATAACATATTTAATATCATCCAAACATAATACATGCAAACAATGAATGAAAACATATATATTTAATTAACATGGGCTAATTAGATAGTCCGTAATTAAAGTCAAAACGATATGAACATTATTACAATAAAAGCCTAGATGCATCATTATAAAGTCACATTTGGTCTAACAATATAACACGATGTAAGGTACTCTTAAAACACATGATCAAGTTAGTTAACAAAACAAATTGGTTTTCGAAATACCAACACCTTTGGACAGAATGAGATTTCTAGACTAAGTAAACTCGTTAACTGTCTTATGGGCACAATCTGTAGTGCTAAGTGGAGCATCATTTTCAGGTTCATCATCTATGAAGATCCTATGGTTGTGGTTGTGGTGGTCCAAGGTTGCTATGGCATGTCTCCATAACCAAGTAAACTATGTCTCTGTTGTCGATCCATTATGGGTCTGCGGAAGAGAAATCAGCTATTTCGTGCGTGTTTTGTATAAGGGATTTGAGGATCCATAGGATTTTGGGCGAAGACCGATGAAGGGATTACTGTGAAGTACAAACTGAGAAACAAATCTTTTTTTTTAAAGGATTCAAATCTTAGCATGCCGCTCTAATACCAATTGTTGTAATCATTCAATGATCATGCTAAGAACAAGAATCACATATTCTTAGGAATGACAATTCGAACTGTTAAAACTGAAAATCTTGGTTAACCAAATCGAATGGGGCGAAAAAAATCGAACCGATAGTGCAATGAGATGGTTATGGTTTTG